CAGAGGAACTAGAAACCAAATTGCTAACATGCACTGGATTATGGAGAAAGCCAGAGAGTTCCAGAAAAACATCTACTTCTGCTTCATTGACTACACAAAAGTCTTTGACTGTGTCGACCACAACAAACTATGGCAAGTTTTTAAAGAAATGGGAGTGCCTTATCTATCTTCTGAGAAATCTATATGTGGGACAGGAAGCAACAGTTAGAAGTGGATATGGAAGAACTGATTGGTTCAAAATTGGGAAAGGAGTATGACAAGGCTGTGTATTGTCTCCCTGTTTATTTAACTTATATGCAGAATACATCATGCAAAAGGCAGGACTGGATGAATCCCAAACTGGAATCAAGATTGTCAGAAGAAATATCAACAACCTCCGATATGCAGATGATACCACTCTGATGGCAGAAAGTGAGGAAGAATTAAAGAATCTCTTAATGAGGGTGAAAAAGGAGAGCGCAAAACATGGTCTGAAGCTCAACATCAAAAAAAAAAAAAATAAGATCATGGCCACTGGTCCATCACCTCCTGGCAAATAGAAGGTGAAGATACGGAGGCAGTGACAGATTTTACTTTCTTGGGCTCCATGATCACTGGAGATGATGACAGCACCCACAAAATTAAAAGACAACTGCTTCTTGGGAGGAAAGCGATGAGAAACCTCGACAGCATCTTAAAACGCAGAGACATCACCTTGCCAACAAAGGTCTGCATAGGCAAAGCTATGGTTTTTCCAGTAGTGATGTATGGAAACAAGACCCGGACCATAAAGAAGGCTGACTGCCAATGAATTGATGCTTTTGATTTGGGGTGCTGGAGGAGGCTCTTGAGAGCCCCCTGGAATGCAAGGAGAACAAACCTATCCATTTTGAAAGAAAGCAACCCTGAGTGCTCACTGGAAGGACAGACCCTGAAGCTGAGGCTCCAATACTTTGGCCATCTCATGAGAAGACTCCCTGGAAAGGACCCTGATGTTCGGAAAGTGTGAAGGCAAGAGGAGAAGGGGACGACAGAGGACGAGATGGTTGAACAGTGTCATCGTAGCTACCAACATGAATTTGACCAAACTCCGGGAGGCAGTGGAAGACAGGAGGGCCTGGCGTGCTCTGGTCCATGGGGTCACGAAGAGTCGGACACAAGTTAACGACTAAACAACAAAAACAATGATATGTTATGAGTTTAAACAAGCCTTATACAATGGTGCCTCACAAGAAGAATGCCTCGCAGGACGAAAAACTCGCAAGACAAAAGAGTCTTCCAAGTTTTTTGGTGCCTCACAAGATGTGTTATCTTGCAAAAAAATTCATCTTGTGAGGCGCAGTTTCCCATAGGAATGCATTGAAATTTAATTAATGTGTTCCTATGGGGAAAAAGTCAGGGGAAAAGTCAGAAATGAAAAAAAAAAGTCAGAAAAAAGTCATTTACCAGGTACAGTAGACTGAGCCCCTGCTGAGCAGCGATGAGGTCGCTCGGCTCCAAGGGTTTGCGGGGCTCACTTGTGGGAACAGAGTGAAACTGGAACCCTGGGGAGAAAACCAGGAAGCAGAGAGACCGTTTATGCAGAGGGCATTTTCCTGTTCAGACTTCAGATTCCAAAATCAGATTCCACCACCAAGACTCCAAAACTCTCACTTTTACATACTTTTTTTCTTTCATGAGGGGAGGAGGGTATCTCTTGTGGAAGGCGGGGGACCGTTTCAGAGGGATCAATCCAGCCACCTTGCAGCTCCCAAGGGAGGAAATGAGGGGGTGAGAAGGTCTAACTCTGGAAGCCCAGGTGGACTCGGTGGCCAGGGGCGCCGTCCTTCAGCTACGACCCTACCTGGATGAGCGGAGTCTAATATCAGTTACACATGCACTGGTAACATCTCATATAGATTATTGCAATGCGCTCTACATGGGGCTGCCTCTGAAGACGGTCAGGCGACTGCAACTGGTCCAGAATCGAGCTATGCAGCTGGTGAGTGGTGGGGCCGCTAGAGAACACATCAAGCCAATTCTGTTTAAGTTACAGTGGTTACCAGTTGCTGCCCAGGCCCAATTCAAAGTGCTTGTTTTGACATGTAAAGCCCTAAACGGCTTGGGCCCTGGATAACTGAAGGACCGCCTCCTTCCATATGAGCCTACCCAGCCGTTAAGATCTAGCCAGGGTAAGAGGAGTAGCTTGTAGACAAAGGACCTTTTCGGCAGCTGCCCCCAGACTATGGCGCTGACATTAATGACATTTCGGCACCAAGTCAAAACCTTCCTGTTCCAGAAGGCTTTTAATTCAAATAACATCAACTGTGGGTCCTCATGGCAATTTTAATTGTATTTTAATCATTTAATCTTTTGTTGTATTTTAATTGACTTTTATAGCAAGCTTCAGCTATTGTGACCACTAGCCATGCTGTCCAATAAGATTTTGGGAGGTTTTGTCCAAAAAAGGGAACATTTCCATGGTCTGCATATTGACTTGTTGGTTGATGGAACCAGGAACAAGTCATTTGTCTTCAAATAAATAAAGGGTTGTCAATGAGACCTTTGTGTAGAGTGGGCGGCATATAAATTAAATCAATCAATCAATCAATCAATCAATCAATCAATCAATCAATTCACACATATAGTCAACTTTTTGTGACAGACATGGCACCCAATCACGTAAAGACACATCCGTTAAGAGTGAAAGACTCAGAGTATCTACCTGGAATTTGCATACACTCTTGGGTACTTTTTCTAATTCTTTCCAGATTAAAATCCAGGGAAAGTGTTTCCTCTCCTGCCCGCCCCCACTTGCTTGCAGGATCCCTCCCTTCCCGGACTCACATGTTTCCTCCCTCCCGTGTCATTCTAGAACGATTTTTTCCCATGAAAGAGGAGGGGGGGGGGAAGGACTGGGAGGGAGAAGGATGATGGAAACCTCCC